CTAACATCAAACCAATGAGCAAGGTACCTTAAATTCCAGACAGTTATTCTGGCCTGGACCATTCTATTCAAACTAGTTGCTAATGCCACTGAAGAAAAGCTTGCCCTGTAGTGGATAGGAGGCTTTGTATTAAACTGTCTGGCTCCCACTCTTCCAGCTTCACAGTGATGGGTTTATATTACAGGACTCATTTTCATTTTATGTCTTTTTATTTACACACCAATTCTTTTGGAAGTAATTTTAATTCTCTGTTTTATGAGAGAGGGGCTCTGTGTCTGTGCATTCCTATATAAAAGAAAGAAAATGATTGTTTTTAATGCAGATTTGAAAGAAATATAATGGATTTCAGCTACAACAATTTCTCCTCATTTAGAAGAGATGAACACCTAGTTAGATGAACAATGTCATTCCTCCTATAATCGGAATATATCTGGTTTCCATGACAACCTGTACTTACCAGATTGCCTGGTAAAAGAAGTATTTTGATTCAGTCTTTGATAAAGGACTTGACCACTTTCTTCATTCCAACAATTTAATTCTATGTGGGTCCTTTTCCCCCCTTTAACATGGGCTGCTTCTGAGAGTTAGGACCTGGAGCCCATTTTAGAGATAAATTTCCTTTGGCATAAAAGGAGAGGCCTCTCCACCAAGTGCTGATGAATGTAGGAAATGAGGACCTGCCACCGGTCAGGTCATAGTCATTTTCTGGTATCTCCCCATTAAATTAAATCAACAGCCGCAGTGCCCTGACTTATTAAGACACTGTTTGATCTGTGGAGGAACAGTTCTATTGTTCATTTCCATCCAGAATCTCTAAACGGGAAGCTCCTCTCTCCACTACTAATTTATACCTTGTCCTCATAGATAGTCTGTGGCCTCTTACAACTAAATTCTGTTCTTGGAAAGAGAGTGCTGTTAATGATTTTCTCTCAAAATGAAAAATAGGGAATTATTTGCATCATTAACTATGCTTTTTCAAAATCTGAGAAATAATAGCCCTACATTTTATCGACAAGATTATGTTTAATGTAACATAAAATATTTAAGTCCAATATGGTAAGAAAACATGACCCTTGGGCATTTTAGTAATGACAGGGAACTGAACAAAAATGTGGGAGCATTCAGTCTAATTCTGAGGGGTCTACTGGGTTTGAGAGAACAAAGTGATTATTTGGTATCCCCAAATCATTGTCAACCATAGCAGTTATCTATGGCTTGAAACACTCAATACAAGTCACCAGGTATCTCATTGTCTATCAGACCTCTATTTTGTAACAGACCTCCTGCATCAATAGGTACATAGCCACAACCTCTGAGAGTGACACTAAGAAACTCTTAAAGCAATGGTACAACACACAATGTAACAGTATGTGTATGTTGTGTAAAAAATGAAAATAAAAAAAGTGAGACATCACCAGGCCTCTCTGTATTTATCATTCCTGCTGTTATTTGTCCAGGTCAGGAGACTTAGTCCCAGGTCACTTCCCCCAGCCTAACTCTTTGTCTGCCAGCATCTTTAATATTCCTAATTAGCACTTAGCTTGGAAGTTACAGTCCTGAAAAAGTTACACTGTGGCATTATTTTTTAAAATGTGCCTTCATTTTAAATCCTGCTTTATTTTTCTTTACCTATTGATTGCCCATCAGTTGGTGATTTTTTTTTTCTCAAGCTTTAGTGTACTCAGCTCTTTAGAAGTAAATGACTGGTCTGGAGAGATGGCTCAGTCCATTAAGTGTCTGCCCAGACAAGCACAAGTCCTGAGTCCTCAGCATCTACCTAAACATCTGGGCGTGGATGTGTGCTTCCACCTCTGAAGAGGCAGAGGGTCCCTGGATCTCCATGGCCTCCTAACCTAGCACAATCAGTGAGACCAGCTCCAGTGAGAGATCCTATCTCCAAAAGGTGGACTGGACTGAGGAATGTACATGTGGGCCTGTGGCCTATACTTACACACACACACACACACACACACACACACACACAATACACACATGCTACCACCACACAAAGGGGAAAAAGAAGATAAATGATTTAACAGAATATTTCAACAGGTGCTTTGATGAAGGCATCTTCCTCCTGCAGGGGTCACTATTTAGACATTTGTCAAGTTCCCATACCATCAATATGACTTTATAGAATTTGTTTTTTTGAGGGCTTCTGAGGGCTTCACCTCAGGGGCTAACTGACCTGCATGTGTGCTTCTGACTGACCAGCCACTCCAGTTTGTCAAGTTTTCCAGGGCAGGATGCTAGGGCATACCATTCAGTGCTCAAATAAGGACAGTCCTAGGCAAATAAGAAGGTTGTTCATGCTATGCAGCCTTTACCAACTCCCACAACAGGGCAAAGGAGAACACTTCTGTCCCATCCACCAAACTATGGAAGACTAGTCCCAGCAAGAAGTGCCTAAGGGGACAGTGACAGACCACCATGCAGTCACAGCTTGGATTTCCTAAGGCTAGGCACATGACCATTTTTCTACAGCAACAACCAAAACAGTTATTTCCCAGCATCCCTTTTGCCAGAGCTAGTGTTCCTAAGCTGGGTACTTTGTGTCCCTGCTTGGCAGTGCTCTGCATCTCCTGTGTCTCACACAATGGAACTTTCCATGATCCTCGGAGGATAATTAGAGATTGTGAATGGCAGAAAGGAAGAGTCTCGGGTAATATGGAGGAGATGTAAGCACCACATTGTGGGAGCCAAGTGTAGATTCGGCAAACAGGATCAGTAGATAGGATTCTCCCATGAGCCAGGCAGATGCTGGGATGCAGGAGTGGGGAGGGCCCAAGTCTGTTCCCAGGAGCTCATGTTAAGGCTAAACTCACACATACCAAGGGAATAGGGGTGAGCTTCCTTGGATTGCATATATTTTCAAATATATTCAATATATTTACATATTTCCAGGAATATGTAAATAGAGGTATGTGTTTGCACCTATATTTATATACACACATGAGTATATACCCACATACATTTAGAAATAGACTTCCAACTTCTTTTGGAAAGGGAGGAGGAAGTGTGGAGGATTCAGATGCTAGACTGGAGAATTCAGACTTCAGTCTGTGAGAGACAGCCATTTGGGGCCTTGAACAAAGAAGGAATAAAACAAAGCACATTGTAGGAGGTGAACATACTGTCTGTCCATGGACAGGAGGAGGAGTGGACAGTGAGAGCATGTACCTTTTTTCAGTTCCTTACCAAATCTTGATGGCGTGCCAGCAGGTGGCAGACCTGTGCAGTGCGCTGGGACAGAGACATGAAGAAGTGTGTCCCGACCTTCCCCTCTGGGACCAGATACCAGTGTGATAGATGAACTGTAGATTCAGGAAGCTTGTGACGTGAGCTCTGAAAGAAATAACCAGCAGGGGGCACTCTACATTCGAGTGGAGGCTTAGGACGGGAGACAGGACAAGCTATGAGGAGGAGAGGGCCTGGAGGGTCAATAGAGGACCGATGCACAGGTGCCGAGCAGCCCTAGAGAAGTCTTGAGGATAGGAAAGAGGACAGATCTGTTACGGAATCAGTGTTTGGAGGCTTGGACCTAGGCTGCTGTGTCATTTGTTCAGAAGACATGGGTTGGAGGCTGGAAGGCTGGCCAAGGGGGTGGAGCAGCTGCCCTTGCTGTCCTTTGCCGAAACTCAGGAAATGAGAAGCAGGAGTGGGTGGCATCCTTGAGAAGGAAGGAAGACCAACTCAGAAGGTGTGGGGAAGACAGGACATGGTCCACAACTGACATATGGTTTTCTGTGGTGTTCAGAATTCCTTGGCCTCATTACCACATTTCTCTAGGCTTTAGTGATCCAAAAACTTCACTCTAACAGTCTAGTGCAATTTCCTTTACACCTCTTTCCATTTGCTGCTCAGAACCAGACCCTCAGGGGCCGTTAGCACCTGTAACCCTGGTTGAGGTCAGTACCGCTGGTTGAGCTTTTACTGTGTGCAGCTTATAAAAGAGGGCACTCGTACCAAAGGGGACTCATATAAGCATCTCTTTTGCTTGAGTGAGAAATAGGGGGCCCAGAAAGTTTAATGTTCATGGATTGCCTAGTTCAAACCCAGGCAAAGCAATTGCTGTTAAAGTACACTATAGTCTCCCCTCACCCCGTTAGAGTCCCAGACTAGTTTCCTGCCCCTACCCCTACCCCTAAGAGCCATGGCTTTAGGACCAAGCAACTGTGGCTTTGCTGGAGGCTCTATGCCCCAGGTTTGTTTGTGTCTTCTTTCACTCTAGAGAGTCTGGGGTCTGCCACCTAGTGGTCACAGACGTCCTTTTTCTTTGGAGCTCCTAGGTGGAAGCAAGCAGGGCCTGGGTATTTATAGTATCACAAGCTGTAAACAGGAAACTTGTCAGCCTCAGAGAAGGAGACCAGCAATGTAAACAGCATATTGCCAACGAGGGCCTGCACCCATCCAACAGACACTTAACACGTGACTACAGATCTATCCATGTACTTGCACACATCCTGGTCACAGCAACACAGGTTTCTCCTGTCTGTATTGTTCACTGGTGATCTGAAGGGCCTAGGATGGTGGCATGTGCATAGCAGATATGCAAGCATTCATGGAATAGAACATTGGCCACATCTTTATGACTGCCCTACAATGTGTACATTACCTTGTTTAATGATGGCTTGTGGGATCTATGGCTTGGGATGCCCATTACTCATATGGGAATCTTGACACATGTGATTTGGACTTTCTGAGTTTAACTGCTGGGATCTACTCTATGCTGAGTTTTTAATGTTGCATTCCCACTGTGTGGACACATGGTAGAACTGTTTTCTCTCAAAGAAACCCCCAGACATTAACACTAATGTTCTGACTTTGGAGTAGAAGGTTTACCTCCCAGAGCTGTGACCGAGTGTATACATGAAGGGAATGTGACTACTTGTCCTGAACTGTATGACTTGCACAGTCTCTCCATTGTTCAAAGGATGGGCCTTTCCTTCCTTTCCAACTCCAACATTCTACTGTTTCTGTGCCTCCCAGGGAGCCGGATATGAGTGGAAGAGAGAGGACCACTTGTTACTAGGCAACCAGTACTTGCCTCACCCATGTTGCCATGGTGATGATGAAAGTTGGGCTGATGGGATTACCAGCTCCTGCTAATTGCACATGAGCACTCAAGGTCTCTGTCTTTTTCTTGCTTGCTCACTAGCTTCGACTGTACTGTCTTGTTCTTCTAGGAACCATAGAGAGACTCTCTCTCCTCTGTAGTCCTCCTGGGGCATCCCTGGTACACTAATGGAAAGCGACTAGAAATGGAGCCTGGCTATTCCTCTGAGTAGCTGTGTGACCTTGGGCAAGTTACCCAGCCTCTCTGGGCCTTCATTTCCTCATTTGGAAAATGAAGGGGTTTGAATGCTGATCCCTGACGAAGGTTCTTCCTAGCTTTCAAATCCTTTGATGCCTAGGGAGCATGTCAGGGGAACAGACCACACTGTTACCAGGCAACCAGCAGGCACCCTGCCCAAGTTGCCTTGGTGACTGGATACTGGAGGGGAGGGGAGTCACTGCTGCAGCTAATTGCTTAATTATTTATGAGTGCCTCAAGTCCTTTCTGTTGTTTTTGTTGCTAGGGGCTGTGGGGTCACCTTCTCCTCTCTCCTGCCACCCCAAGGCATCTGCATTGTGTGTTATGCAATGAGAGAGCACCTTGGCCTGGACCTCAAGCAACCCACGTCCTAGTTCTGCCTCTGTAATGTCCTAGAGCAGTGGCCTCAGGTAAGTCAGCTCACCTCTCCAGGCCTTGAGTTTCCTCTTTCCGATAGCCATGTGTTTGTTTAGGGGAACACTGAGTGCCCCATCTAACCAGAGGTTCTGGCTCCTGCCATCTACTTGTGAAGTGAGGCATACAAGTGAAATATTCCTAATTTGTTTTCAGTGAAGTATAATTTTGAAGAGTCAACATGTGTTCAGTGGGAAAGAGACAGAAGTGCTGGTAGTCGCCTCTTCTTGCCTTAGTCATGTTGCCTGAATTCTTTATTAACCTAAGGTCATTTATATTTTACTCATTATGCATCACCAATTTCCCAAATAGATTTCAGGCCTTCACAGTATAAGATACAGTTAGCCCATTAAAGTAGAAATAAACATAAGAATATAGGAGTTCCTTCATTGATTAATATCCATGTTATAATCTAGAGACTAATGTAATTTTGAGCACCTTGGAAGCTAAAGCAAAAGAGTGATATATAATGCAGAAAAACTTTCAGACCTCTTCCGATCCTAAATCCTAGAAGGAATTTATTGTGTGGCTTTTTGTTTTATAGGAAGTGCAGATAGAAATTTAAAACTAGACCTTTCTGGCTGAGTGATTGTTACAGGGTATGAGGAAGAGTCAAAGCACGACAGTTCGGCTAGTTGCAAGTCATTAGAAAGCAGCCATCCTTTCTACCTATGTCTTAGAATTTCATGCAGATAAATGTCACTTAGTAAGTCTGAGTCCTCAGAGCCAGGAGCTATTAATAACTCACATGCATGGATATGTGCTTATCTTGTACAAGTTGGCAACATGTACTGGATTTTTAAATGCAGGCAGCTGTTCTCATCCCCCAGACTCCTTCTGAAGTAAGCCTGTACAGATGAGGATGCAATTATGAAGATGCCCATGGTGGACTTACTTATAAAAGAAAATGGCTAGAAAGTACATACTGTTGGGGGCTGTGGCTTTACAATGAGTCCTCTTGACACCTTTGTGGTGAAGTAGAACTGTGTGTTTTGATCTGGAAAAATGTTCAGGGACATAATGTTCAATAAGATAAGAAAGTGCAGCGTTGATGTTAGACGCATCTGTTTCTTCTATAAAAAGACTGGGAGATACAGTTTATAAATTGAGATGTATGTTTGTATGCACAGATGTGTATTTTTTTCAGAAGCTGTTAGTAGCAGTTTCCTCTGGGAAGCAGACTGATCGTCTTGGGAGAGAGAGACCTCTCCTCTATGACTTATTTTTACCCTCTGGACCTTCATTTTTCACTCAGATGGGCAGGAGGGCCTGGCAGTAGAAACCCTGAACTCTAGAGTTTCAGCATGCCCATTCAGATCGCAGCTTTGCCATGTACTAGTCACGTGACCTTGGGGTTAGCCTGCCTACTCCGTCCCACATCTGTAAGATTTGAGTGGATAGTACCCTCCACATCACATTATTTAAGGGGTACACAAGCTAATAGGGTAGAGCTCTCTCAGAAAGGCTCTAACAGTGCCGTATGTGTTTTTTGAAAAGGTTAAAGGGAAGATTAAACAACAAATGCCTCTGACCAGATGGATCGATCCTAGTACCTCAGTGATGGAAGATTTGATCAAATAGTCACATTTCCAGAATCTTATGCAGTATGGAAGTTACATTGCAAGAAGGGATCACAAAGCACACATTGTTTGGTTGTTATTTTATCTTACCTTGGCTAGTCCGTGGGGAAGACAGTGGTTCTGAGGGATAACCCATCATGAACCTATAAAGCCCCATCCCATCGTGTTCTCCAGCTCTTCTCCCTCAAGGGGAAAGCAAAATGAATGCTGTCCAGTAGAAAATGGACTAGGTGACCAACTCCTTGTCCCCAGTTGTTGGAGGCCAGAAAGGTACTACCTTGAAATTTGAGTTAGAGGGTTTCCAGGCCTCCCAGCATGCCTCCACGCCTTTGCCTTTCTCATGGAGAGAGTAACAGAGGCCTAGGAGGAGATTTGCTAGAGGGTTCCTCTTATTGTGAACTTGGGAGTCTCATGGCTACAGTGACTTCCTGCATTTTCACACTTGTAGGTTGTGTGTACAGAATCGCAGCTTCCTCCCTCTTCCTCTGCCTAGCTGGCGGCAGGCCTGAAGAACTTTGGCTGACTCCGAGGCCTCTTTTGGAAGCTGGGCATTCTGTAGGCACATCCAGAGTAGGAAGATATCCCCGGTCCCTTAAATACACCTAGTTAGGCAACTTTATTCTCACCACTAGGCATGCAAAAAAAGCTTCAATACTCCCTGGCTTCATTGTTGCCAGATTCCATCTTTGTCTAATACCTTGTTTCTGCACCCTCAGACATTGGAGCCTCTTTATCTGTTCGGCCATTGGTCCTCTCTCCATCTATCTGTCACATCCAACTGTGCTTCCATCTGCCCTTCCATCCCTCTGTCCCTCCTCCAGCCATCTGCCAGCCTTCCCATCCATCCAGCCTTCAGATTGCTGGTATGTCAATTCATTTCTTCTTCCTCCCTGGCACTGTTGGACTCTGAGATTCCATCCACACTGATCCATTGGCCGGACCTTCCATCTGTCCTTGGCCCCAGCTACGGGGCCA